TTTCATCCTGATATTTGTATCACATAGCTAATTTTTACTTGGCTTTGAAGTAGCACATTACCTCTAATTTTCAGGTCCAGAGGTTTTACCGGTAATATGTTATAATATAACATGATAATGAGAAATTTATATTTAGTCTCATAATTATTAAGATAATATATCCTTAAACTAACTAATATGGACAGAGGAAGCTGTGTTTATATTGTTTTTTCTTTGTCCATCTCTTTCTTCTTCTTCCTCCCCTTCTTTTCCTTGTTATCGCTCCCTCTTTTTTGTCAAATGAATTTATTTCTTTGAAAGAATATTGTCATCATTTCAGACCCAGGTTCAATGGCTTCATAGTAATTTGCTTGATTAAAAAACATGTAGTAAGGATCAGTTAGATAGAAGTTACTTTGATAGCAATGTTCTTGCCATGCATATATGCAAGTTTTATACGTACATATATATAGTATGCCTTAAAACATTTTATTGTAAATATTGAAAAGTAGCTAGTTACTATTGTGGCTTAAAAATACGAGGAATGAGTCATGGAAGGAAGGAAATTTGCATATGTGACTTCAAAATAATTAGCTGCATTAAAAAAATGATAGATCCTACATTCATCATTTTTTAAATGAAAGATTAAAGTTGTACAATAAAAAATGAAACTGACCAGTAGTGAACTGTCGTCACCATTGTGATGTTTGAACACATTGTTGCACCCACTGTGTGAAGCCACCTTGTGGAGTGTATTCCTCTTCTTCACCTTCCCTATACTTGGCCAAGAATTATATCTTTTACCAGAGACTGGGTCTCTCCTGATAGCATGTCCACAATACTTGAGAGAAAGTTTCGCTGTTCTTGCTTCTCAAGAGAATTTGGGCTGTACTTTTTCAAAGACAGCCTTGTTATTCTTTTGGCAGTCCACAATACTTTCAATATTTGTGCCAACATTATAATTCAAAAGCATCTTATTCTTCTATGATCTTCCTTATTCAATTTCTAACTTATCCAAGTATTGAGGCAATTGAAAGTACCATGGCTTGGGTCATGTGTACTTTCCTCTTCAAAATGATACCCTTGCTTTATAACAGTTTAATGAGGTCTGCCTTATGCAGCAGATTTACCCAATGTAACAAGTCCTTTGATCTCCTGCCTTCTGCTTACATGAGTTAATTGCATGTGCAAGCAAGATAAAATCATCAAAAACTTCAAACTTTTCTCCATTTATCATGATGCTATCTAACTGGTCCAGTTAGGAGGAGCTGATTTTCTGTACATTAAGTTTTAATGCATATTGAAGGCAGCAATTCATGATCTTCAGCAGCAAGCGCTGAAGCCACCGCTTTCAGTCAGCCAGGTTGTGTCATCTGCACAGGTCAAGTGTGTAGTGAAACTCTTCAATCCTGATGCGGCTTTCTTCGTCCTATAAGCCGTCATCTCTGATGATTGTCTCAGCATACCGGTTGACTAAACATGGTTAGAGGATACAACCTGATGCGCATCTGTCTTGATTTTAAACCATGCAGTCAGTATCCCTTGTCCTGTTTGCACAATTGACTCTTAACCCATGTCCAAGTTTTGCAGCCCAGGCAGCGTATTCTGGAATACCCATTCTTCTCAAGGCTATCCAG